GAACCGACCGCGACTGATTCAGAGAGGCCGTCAGTGTGCCTCACATCGTCAAACTATGCACTGTGGGAATTTCAGTTTCGGGTTTTTGTTGAGGGAAAAGGATTACTGGGTGTTTTGGATGGCTCAATTCCACAACCAGCTGCTGCTGCGGCCACTTCTTAGGAGATAGCAACATGGACTCAAAGTGATGCACGTATCCGTTCCTGGCTTCTTGGTTCGGTCAATCCTTCGACCTGCCTCAGCCTTCGTTTATTCCCAACCGCCAACAGAATGTGGCGCAATCTATCAGGTCTCTACTCCACCACCAGCGCTGCTCGACAATTTGAGGTGGAGACAGCTCTTGCCCGCTTAACTCAAGGCGATCGAACAGTGACTGAGTATTTCAACGCCGCGCAAGCGTTGTGGACAGAGCAAGATATGTTGACCTTGACTCTGAGGCCGCAAGCTATGTCTGATGACATGGTCGTTGAACGACAACAATCCAGGGTTATGCAATTTTTAATGAGGCTGCGACCCGAATATGAGAATGTTCGGGCTAACATTCTGAACAGGGAGAGACTTACCTTCGACGGGGTGATCAGCAGCCTGGTACGCGAGGAGACCCGCTTGAGAACTCAAGCCTAATTTGATGTTCGTCCAGGGGAAGGCGAGACATTCGCCACAGCTGCTGCTCGCTCGACAAGGCCAGGTATGGGACATGGAACTCAAGTTCTTGTTGTTTCACGTCCCCAATTCCATAGTAGAATACCCAATGCTAAATTGGAATGCCATCATTGCCACGAAAAGGGCATTTAATGAAGCATTGTCGCCGAAGGAATTATTGTGTTTATTGCAAGAGAATGGGCCATATTGTCTTGGAGTGTCGCACGCGTGACCGTAATGCGGAAAGGTTTGGTGGAAATTCTGGTTCGTTTGGAGGCAATTCTGGTTCGGCAGGTGGTGGTCGAGGGTCACAAGGGAGATTCAATCGCCCTGCTTATAATGTTGATGCTGGGGAATCTAGTGGAACCGCGGCAGGAGGTGTCACAGCAGCTCAAATGGAGCAACTTGTCAACCCTCAAGGTAAAGTGCAAAACAAACCTTGGTTGCTTGATTCAGGTTGTTATAACCACATGACTAATGATAAAAAGGTTCTACAAAATATTAAATTCATTAGTCATGAGGGATTGACAGTTGCCAATGGTGATAGAATGGAAGTATCAGGGGTAGGTAAAGTTGACACGTCTAATATTTCTTTGGCTCGCACTCTTCATGTTCCTGCTTTAGTTACAAACTTGGTTTCAGTCGGGCAACTTACTGAACAAGGATGCTCTGTTTTGTTTGGTCCTACTGGTTGTGTTATACAGGAATTGAAGACGGGGAGGCAGATCGGAAGGGGGAGTAAACAGGGGAGGATTTTCCACTTGGAGGAGCTCCAGGATAGTTCGAGTTCAGCATCTTATTCTAGTAGTCATGTTATGTCTAGGTCTGTCAGTAGTCCTTCTCATGTTTTTGAACCTCCTTCTGTGGTTGGTCTTGTGTTTTCTAGTTTATCAAATAAGGTGTGGGAACTTTGGCATGCCCGTCTGGGGCATCCACACTCAGGTCGTCTCTCAGTCATGTTTAAACAGACTCTGTTAGGGAAAAATATTGCAAAAATTCTAGCAAAACATTCTTGCCCCAGTTGTGTTGAAGCTAAAACCTCGACCGTATCTTTTCCTTCTAGCACTACTGTTATAAATGAGCCTTTCCCTCTTGTTCATACGGATCTGTGGGGTTCTTCCCCTACTGTCTCTTGTCTGGGATTCAAATATTTTGCCATGTTTATAGACCATGAGACCCGATATACCTGGATATATTTTCTCAGACTCAAATCCGAACTTCGTTCTGTTTCCATTGAGTTTCTTGACATGATCCAAACCCAATTCGGAAAAACAGTCAAAATTATTCGTTCAGATCCAGGAGGAGAGTTTAGCTCAATTCCTCTGCATGATGCCTATCGATCTCATGGTATTCTTAGCCAAATGTCTTGTCCAGAAGTTTCTCAACAAAATGGTCTAGTAGAACGGAAAAATAGACATGTTATGGAGCTTACTAGAGCCTTACTCCTTGATTCTTCTGTTCCCGGTCGTTTTTGGCCCGAAGCCGTAGTAACTGCAGTGCGATTAATCAACTATCAAGTCACTCCAGTTTTAAATCATTTGAGTCCTTATTTTTCCCTATACGGCCATCATCCAGATTATTCTCGGTTAAGAGTATTTGTTTGTCTCGGCTTTGTTCTTCTTCCTAGACGAGAGAGAACTAAATTAACTTCCAAAACTGTACGTTGTGTTTTTCTTGGATATAGTAGTGTGCACAAAGGGTACCTCTGCTATGATCCTATGGGGCAGCGTATGAGAATAGCAATTTCGGTTGTGCTCTTTGAAAATCATAGGTTCTATCCTTCCAAATCTATTTCTGAACTCGAGTTTCCTGGTGGCACACAGTCGCTGCCAATTTTTTATGAAGACTTGGATGATATGGCTCATTTGTCCAATGATCCTGATGATGCTCCCTCCTCTCCCGATCTGCCCTCCACCACGCCAAGTACATCCATCTCCTCTTCTTCCTCAACTTCTACTAGCAGCAGCCCACCAATGTCCATTTTGGATTCGCCATCACCAGAAGAACAACAGCAGCCTCGGCGGTCACTGCGAGTAAACAAGGGAGTTCCGCCTCCTAGGTTCGATGATTATTTTGCTTATGGAGTGAACACTCTCATTGTCCCAACCACTTTTAAACAGGCTCATGGGAATCCAATATGGGATCGCGCCATGCAAGAGGAGTTCGGGGCGTTGGAATCGAATCGAACCTGGACAGTTGTTGATCGGCCGGTTCCGTGTCCTCCTACCATCGGGTGTCGTTGGGTCTATGGCATCAAGGTTCTTCCTGACGGTTCCATTGAATGCAACAAAGCTCGTCTAGTTGCCCTCGGCTATACTCAAGAACATGGAGTGGATTATGAAGAATGCCTTTCTCTATGGATGTGAAGAATGCCTTTCTCTATGGTGATTTGGAGGAAGTGATCTATATGGAAAGGCCTCCTGGTTATACTGTTGGCCGTGAGGACCAAGTCTGTCTATTACATCGGTCACTCTACGGACTCAAACAGGCACCTCGGGCCTGGTTTGAGAAATTTCAGGCTAAGATTGTTCAGCTGGGCTTTCAGCAAAGTCTCAACGATCCCTCACTTTTTACTAAGATTACTTCGGCAGGCATAGTTATTCTTCTCCTGTATGTTGATGACATGGTGATTACTGGTACTAATCCGGAAGAAATTTCTCTTCTTAAAGCTGGGTTGAAAGGGGCTTTCAGTATTAAGGATCTGGGCAATCTATCATACTTCCTGGGGCTGGAAGTTAGTCGTAATGATCAAGGTATTCTTCTAAGTCAGCGTAAATATATTTCTGATCTGCTCAGTGATCACAACTTTGATAACAGCAAACCTGTGAAGACGCCCATGGAAGTGAATTTGAGACTGCACAAAAATTTGGTGAACCTCTGAAGGATGGATCCCAATATCGTAGTATCGTGGGAAGTCTGATCTATCTATCTGCTACTCGTCCGAACATCTCTTGTGTTGTACAAGTGGTTAGTCAATTCATGACTGCTCCGTGTGTTGATCATCTTGCTGCAATTCATCGGATCTTACGGTATCTTCATGGAACACAAGATGTAGATATTCAATTTTCCTCTACAGGTTCTCCTACAATTACTGCATACTCTGATTCCGACTATGATTGTTGCGTCGATACTCGTCGTTCCACATCCGGGTGGTGTGTTCAACTTGGTGGAGCTTACATATCATGGCGGTGTAAGAAGCAGGATAAGGTCTCCAAATCATCAACTGAAGCTGAATATCGTGCTATGTCCGAAGTTGGATATGAAATGGTGTGGTTGAGACATCTCCTCTCTGATTTCAGATCACTTGTCCTGCGCCTATGGCATTGCATGTAGACAACACCAGTGCTATTCGCATTGCAGAGAATCCAGTTCTTCATGATCGGACTAAGCACATAGAGATTCATGTGCAATACGTTCGGGATCTTGTTCGTGATGGCACTGTCAGCTTACATCATATTCCGACAGAAGAACAAGTTGTTGATCTGTTCACAAAGTCCTTTTATACTAGTCGTCACTGGTATTTTGGGGAGCAAATTGATGCTGAAAGATCGGCATCAATTTTGGGGAGGATGTTGAAATCAAGAATTGAAGCGAAGAACTAGGGTTCTAACAGATGAAAAGAAAGAAGAAGAGGAAAGTATGAAAGAGAGACTAAGCAGAATACGATTTGTATTCTGTCTCCTTCAAAGAATGGGCCTTACTGATTGAGCCCACAGACACGACATAAAAAAGGACTAAAGAAACAGTGGGCTTTGAATACTAATCCTACTTGCTGGCCCAATCTGCGAGACTGTCTTCTTCCTTGGTCAGTGACCTTAGAAGCAGTAGATTGAAACAGCCGAGCCAGACAGAGTAGAAACAGAGCAGAAACAGAGCATCAGAGAAGGATGAGAGAATGAGCAAATGCACAGGAGATTTTTAACGAGGTTCCCAACTACTGGTCATTCCTCGTCCTAGACTCAGTACCCACTGAAGTCTAGGAGACTCTTTTTTTATTATTTATCCTATCAAGCAGAAAAATGAAAGACAAATACAAACTCACAAGTAATTGAGAAAGCAACAAGTAAAATAAGAGCAACCCAGATCCCCTGATTCCTGACCGATAACTCCACCAATTCAACAGAACCTCTACCCCTGTATGAATTGAACCACTGTGCCCTTGAGCCCTATTCCACTCTTGACACCGTGACTTGATCTTTGAGAGTCGAGAGCTTTATATAGTCATAGAGAATTCGACCGTTGCCTTTAATTGATCTTCCAAATCGTAATCAGCTGGCAACCTTCCTTTTTTAGGACAATTCTGATTTGGAAATTCTTGCCAACAATCTCCCCTTAAATCAGAGATTGCCGAATGCCTGCAAAACAGATTACCTTTGTTCTCGACCACAAAAGTTAGACATAATAATGTTAAGATCAGAAGCAGTACTAAGAGGCAAGAGGCATCAAGAAGTTCGAACAGCAAAATATTAACAAAAACACCAGTTCAACAACCATGCCCAACATTCAACAGAAAACACAAGTTCAACAGGCAAACCCAACATTCAATAGAAAATCCACAAGGGAATCCGTCAATAAAAGAACAAAACTTCCAGGCAAACACCATAGCCATTTCAAGAACGCTCCCCTTCAACAACACAGCACTTTAAGAACGTTCCCCTTTAGAATCACCCTTGTCTTAAGATCCATATTCCATCAGCGCCTGAAGAGCCTCTACAAATGGCTCAAGGTTGGGGCCATCGTCACTGTCACTGCTACTGCTGCTGCTATCACTGCTGCTGATCCATACTACGCCACCATCCTCCCCTTCATTCGGAATCTCAATCGCATCCATCACGTCATGAGCAGAGGGAAACATGGATGGAGAGAGAGAGTGAAAAACAGAGACATCCACATGGATGCCAAGAAGCAAGTTGGTGATAAGAGGACCAAAGGGCAAAGGTACCGTGAGCAAGGGGTCACTGAAGCGATAAAAGGTACCAAATACCAGGTGAGAATAGTCAAGCGGAACACCCTCGACAGCATGGGCTATGATCCAGAGATCAAGCGGCAAAACAAGATCTAACTGCTCTGCCCTAGGAACGAAAACACGAGTTATACAGTAGTGAAGCATCCTAAGAGCAGGCATGAGAGCTGAGACAGGCATTAGAGAGCCAGGAGCAGGGTGCACTCCCATGAGATCATGAAACTCCTCAGCATAATCAAAATTGAATAGAGGGAGTTCCGACTCATCAGCCAGGGCTTCACCGACCCGAGGAATATTAAGAGATGCAGCTAGCTGGTCGAGAGGAATGGTAAATAGAGACCCATAAACAACTGAGGAAAAGGTCCGGGAAGCTAGACTGGAAGAGAGAAAGTTCGAAAAGATCAAGCGAACTGGCTCAGGACAGAACATAGAGGGAAAAGGAAGAGGCAACATGAAATCCCACCCGAGATTGCGAACAAGACCCTCAATATCAAGACCATATTCCAACAGTTCAGGAAGAGGTACATGATATGAGGGCAGAAAATCACGGGAAGCAAAGTATTGAATATGACGGTGGTAGTTGAGGGGGATAGGATCAAAGAAAAGAGAACCGGAAAAAGTAACAGCAAACGCCATTGAAAGAAGGAGAGCTTAAGACACAAAACTTTAACTCTAACTACGACACAATGACAACTACACGAAGCAGACCAAAGCTTAAATAGGCCAAGCAGAGACACAAAACAAGCAAGAACAAAGAAAAGGAAAGACTAGGATCCACACAGAAAGGAAAGAATCACAAACACAAGGAAGAAAAACAACCTAAAACAAAAAGGAAAATGCAGCACCAGAAGATTACGGAGAGATCATCTCATTAAGAGATGAAAAAGAACGCAGACCTAGCTCATAACAAAGGAAGGTAAATCGATCAGCCGATAAAGGCTTAGTCAATAAATCAGCTAATTGAAACTCTGTAGGGATGTGCTTTAATGACACAATATTGTCCTGAACAAGTTCATGATAAAATGAAATTTAACCTCTATATGCTTAGTGCGTGAATGCTGGACAGGATTACGAGTCATAGAAATGGCGCTAGTATTGTCACAAAACAAGGACATTGTAGGAATTGTAAGACCATAATCAGTAAGTTGATGTTTTAGCCAAAGTAGTTGTGCACAAGAACTCCCTGCAGCAACATACTCAGCTTCCGCAGTGGAGAGGGCTACAGCCCCCTGTTTCTTACTAAACCAAGAAACTAAAGAGGAACCTACAAACTGACAGCTTCCTGAAGTACTACGACGATCAGTTAGACTACCGGCATAATCCGAATCTGTATATCCCATTAGATCAAATGTATCTTGATGACTATACCATAATCCTACATCCATTGTCCCTTTTAGATACCGAAATATTCTTTTGACAGCAGTAAGATGACTCTCTTTGGGTTGCGACTGAAATCTTGCACAAAGGCACACACTAAAAAGAATATCAGGCCTACTGGCCGTAAGATACAGCAGGGATCCAATCATTCCCCTATAGAGAGACTCATTGATTGGCACACCACTGTCATCTTTGTCAAGTTTGATAGTAGTATCCATGGGAGTAGGACTAGAATTTAAGTTAGTCATGTCAAATTTACTTAACATGGCTGACAAATATTTAGATTGATTAATGAAAATGCCATGTTCAGTTTGTTTAACTTGCAGACCTAAAAAATATTGTAATTCCCCCATCATGCTCATTTCAAATTCCTTTTTCATTGATTCAGCAAAGGCAGAGGCAAGCTTTTCATTAGTAGATCCAAAGACAATATCATCAACGTATATTTGAACTAAGAGTAAATCATTAGTGGTACGTTTGATGAACAAGGTTTGATCAACAGATCCTTGAGAAAAGTTTTCAGCTTTAAGAAACGAAGTTAGTTTTTCAAACCTAGCACGAGGTGCTTGTTTCAACCCATAAACAGCCTTGTTTAGTTTGAAAACATGATTAGGAAATTGATGATTAGTAAATCCAGGAGGTTGTTCAACATAAACGTCTTCTTGAATGACTCCATTCAAGAAAGCACTTTTCACATCCATTTGATAGAGTTTGAATTTAAGAAAGCTGGCAAAAGCGCAAAGAAGACGAATTGATTCAAGACGAGCCACAGGAGCAAATGTTTCGTCATAATCAATACCTTCTTCCTGACGGTATCCTTGAGCAACAAGCCTAGCCTTATTACGAATAATAATTCCTTCCTCATTAGATTTATTTCGAAAGACCCATTTAGTACCCAAAACAGTTTTGCCAATAGGACGAGGAACTAAATCCCACACATGCAAATAATCAAACTGATTTAATTCTTCTACCATAGCAACTGACCAACCATCATCTTTCAAAGCATCTTTAAAATTCTTAGGTTCAACTTGAGAGACATAGGCATACTGACCTGGTATATACTTACCTCCCCTTGTGCGAAGCCCTTCATTTACATCACCAATTATTTGAGTAGGAGGATGACGTTTTTGTATATGGGGAGGTGCAGTAGTCTGAACAGGAGCAGCATCCTCACGAATTTCATCAGTTTGATTTGGTGGAGTGCTTCTATCATCATTCTGAACTTCAGCAGGGTTTCAGATGTTTCTCCTGATATTCTGGGTGTTATTCTAATCATTTCCAGCATGTCATAAGCAGCTGCATCCTGAGAAAAACTTTCATTAGAGGAGTTACTGTCATTAAATACAACATGGACAGATTCCTCAACTTTCTTAGTGCGCTTGTTATAGACTCGATAAGCCTGTCCCTTGGTTGAATATCCAAGAAAAACAGCAGGATCAGACTTAGCATCGAATTTTCCCAAGTGGTCTCTAGTGTTCAACACAAAACAAGGACACCCGAAAGGGTGGAAATAGGAAAGATTTGGAGTCTTGGATTTGAACAGGTCATAGGGAGTTTTCATTAATCCTTTTCTGATAAGTCGACGATTAAGAGTATAACAAGCAGTGCTAACTGCTTCAGCCCAAAATAATTTAGGTAAGTTATATTCTAAAAGCATAGTACGAGCACATTCAATAATGGTGCGATTTTTGCGTTCTACTACCCCATTTTGTTGGGGAGTGCGAGGTGCAGAAAACGTATGAGTTATCCCAGACTCATAACAATGAGTCTCAAACTCTTCTGAGACAAATTCTCCACCATTGTCGCTACAAATGGTTTTAACACGACCAGGAAACAGTTTCACAAACATCTTGAACTTATCTAATGCTTCATCTTTATGAGCTAAGAAGAACACCCACGTGAATCTAGAGAAATCATCTACTAAGACCAGAACATAATTTTTGCCTCCTAGACTAGTAACATTGCAAGGGCCGAAAAGGTCCATATGAATTAAATCGAAAACAGCAGAAGAGGAAGTTGCAGACTTAGATTTGAAAGATTTTTTCGTATGTTTCCCAGCAACACAGATTTCACAAAAAAAATCAGATTTGTGTTTCAGAGGAGGAACTCCACGAACACTATCAGATTTAGATAATGAAACTAATTTGGAAAGACTAATATGTCCTATTTTACGATGCCAGAGAAGTTCATTGTGACATGAAGCAGAAAAACACATCTCATGAAATGCATATGAGTCACGAAGATCAATAGTATACATGTTATTCACTCTGGATCCAATGAAAAGAACTTTATTATCCTTTTCACGTTCAACAATGCATTTATCAGTTTTGAATATAACCCGATTTCCATTGCTGCACAGTTGACTAATAGAAAGCAGATTGTGCTTCAACCCACTAACTAAAAGAACTTTACGAAAAGAGGGAAACCTAGATCCACCTATAGTTCCAATTCCTATTATTTGACCTGAACCATTATCACCAAATAGAACTTTACCTCCATCATTAGGTTTGAGATCAGTGAACAGAAACTCCTTACCAGACATATGGTGGGAACACCCACTGTCGAGAAACCATTTATAATCATCTGCTGGAACACTTTCTGTTGGGACAAAAGCCATAAAGGCCTCTTCATCTGAGGGCAAATTCTCTTGCTCTGAATCGTAGTCACTCCAGGTGGCCTTCATAGCATGTTCACGAGCTCGTTGAGTCATGGGGCAGTGAGCTCGAATATGTCCCAGCTTACCACATTTATAACAAGCTTGAGGATCTTTCTCCTGCATATTAGAATCAAACATTCTGGTCTGTCCCAAAGACAGCCTGTCTTGAAAGTTGTTTTTAGTACGGTTAAACTCAGTACTTCTGCCTTCAGGATTTTGAAATCTTTTATTGTTCTTGTGTTTGAGCATCCTGTGAAATTTCTTACTTACTAACGCAAATTCTTTTTCAAATTCATCTTCATTATCACTTTCCGACTCATAAGAAATGGCTTTGGATTTGAAAGCAAGACTCTTTTTACGCACATCATCATCTTGATTGACTTGTTTGATCACATTTTCATGACTCAAAAGAGAACCAATTAGTTCATTAATAGGCAACGTAGTAAGATTCTTAGCTTCTTCAATAGCTGTACGCTTAGGTAGCCATTCTTTAGGAAGAGATATGAGAATTTTGCGATTTAGATCTTTAATCGGAAAGTTCTTCCCTAACCCTTTAAGCTTGTTAATAAGAATAGTAAAGCGTGAATACATATCATGAATTCCTTCATTTGGAAGCATATTAAAGGCCTCATATTCATGAACAAGCAAATCAATACGAGATTCTCTTATATTGGACGTACCTTCATAGGTGCTTTCAAGCGCAAGCCAAATTTCTTTTGTCGTTTCGCAGTTTTCAACTTGATCTGCTTCATCTGGATGCATCGCTGACTGGAGAACGTGCATAGCTCGTTGATTCAGCTGTGCACTCTTTTTTTGAGCAGCAGACCAAATATTCTGTTCTTCTGCGACCATTTCAATCGGACCATTCTGAACTATCAACCATAGTTCTTCATCGATACCCCACATGAACTGCTTAATCCTCTTTTTCCATGCGGTATAGTTGGAACCAGTGAAGATAGGAGGATGATTAAGAGCAGCTTGACCAAAAGAAGAGGACGCCATTGGATCGCAACCTTGGCAGAGTCACCTTCTTCAAGGACCAGCTCTAATACCAATTGAAATCAAGAATTGAAGCGAAGAACTAGGGTTCTAACAGATGAAAAGAAAGAAGAAGAGGAAAGTATGAAAGAGAGACTAAGCAGAATACGATTTGTATTCTGTCTCCTTCAAAGAATGGGCCTTACTGATTGAGCCCACAGACACGGCATAAAAAAGGACTAAAGAAACAGTGGGCTTTGAATACTAATCCTACTTGCTGGCCCAATATGCGAGACTGTCTTCTTCCTTGGTCAGTGACCTTAGAAGCAGTAGATTGAAACAGCCGAGCCAGACAGAGTAGAAACAGAGCAGAAACAGAGCATCAGAGAAGGATGAGAGAATGAGCAAATGCACAGGAGATTTTTAACGAGGTTCCCAACTACTGGTCATTCCTCGTCATAGACTCAGTACCCACTGAAGTCTAGGAGACTCTTTTTTTATTATTTATCCTATCAAGCAGAAAAATGAAAGACAAATACAAACTCACAAGTAATTGAGAAAGCAACAAGTAAAATAAGAGCAACCCAGATCCCTTGATTCCTGACCGATAACTCCACCAATTCAACAGAACCTCTACCCCTGTATGAATTGAACCACTGTGCCCTTGAGCCCTATTCCACTCTTGACACCGTGACTTGATCTTTGAGAGCCGAGAGCTTTATATAGCCATAGAGAATTCGACCGTTGCCTTTAATTGATCTTCCAAATCGTAATCAGCTGGCAACCTTCCTTTTTGAGGACAATTCTGATTTGGAAATTCTTGCCAACAGATGTTAGCGTATTAAGAGTTAAATGGGCTACGATTTAATTCTGTTATTGGTAAATGGGGCCCATGTTATTTTACAGCCCATACGTAGGCCCATGCTAGTCCATGCACAACCCTAGGTACGTTTGTTGTATAAAGGGTTGGGGGAGAAGTTTGGCCGCCTGTAACGTGGATGATCATAATCTCAACACAGTAAAATCAGTAGCTGAAGAGCATTCAAGCTCTTGCGTGGATTAGTCCTGGATCACATCCAGGGATACCACGTAAACTCCGGTGTCCGTGTTTCAATCTGTTTCCGCATCGTATTATTCTGATTTTGCATCCGTCAATATTCGTCAGCTAACGAGAATGCTGGGGATCTTTGGGGCGAGTAAAGGACGAGGACTTGTGATATGGTTTATTTGTAGCCTTACTAACAAAGGTTTCTAACTTGGCGACAAGAAAAGTTCTTGCTTTATAACATTCTTTGATTTGATTCTTGTTTGTTGTTTTCGACAATATGACGTTCTTGTATTTATCTATTTTCTCGATATTACAGGTCATTATTAGCAAAATTTCAAAAATGATATTATCACGATGTATGATAAAAATGAAACAGCTAGCCAAAAGAATTTTCACAAATTGAACACTTGATTGCAAATGGGCAACAATTAATCGTTATTCAGGAAAAGGTTCCTTCTTCCTAATCCCAAACAGTCCACATACCTCCCTTCCTCCTTTGTCCTTTCACATCCAACACCCCTAAAGAAGCTTTTTGAGAAAAATCCCCAAATGAAATCTATGGACTGATCCAAATCTACTGAAACTGGGCCTATCCCAAAGACACTGCAATTGGGCTTCTCACAACATGGTAATCATCCCTCCAAGCATACCACCCGAACCCATACCCGCCTCTGAAATTCCCCTCCGCCGCCGTTCGATTCCTCACCGTAATCCTCAATTCGAAGCTCTTCTTCTCACCCACCCGACTGAAGTACAAAACGCTGGGCCGCGCCTCCACGGTCAACCCCGACGGCGGCTTCCCGCCGAAGAAGTACGCCGCCTTCCCGGCGCCACCCACGTTCGTCACCGTTCTCCTCACGGTGGCGCTCCCGTTCAATTTCGGCACGGAGACGGACGGATAATTGAGGTCGTACGTCGGCGGCAACACATCCGGGCACTCGAATCGCTTGTCGGCGTTTCTCAACCCGTAGCTGCAGAGATAGAGCAGGTAGTCCCCGTACGACGCGTCGTATACCAAACCCGGGTCCGCTGCTCTCGACGGGCGGAAGTGACCCGACCCGAATTCGAACGGCGTCGCTTTGTCGCCCGATTGATCGGTTATTGCCTCCCCCTTTTTGTTCTTTACCGACGCTGCACATAGAAAACGGTATTTGTTACTCTAGGTGAAGAAATCCATTTTCCCCTCTCGTTCAAACGTGATATGGGTTGTAATTTACCAGTAGTCATGATTGCAGATCTTATGGCGGCAGAGCTCCAAGTGGGATGTATAGCTTTGATAAGCGCGGCCAAGCCAGCAACGTGAGGGCAGGACATAGAAGTTCCCGAATCGAAATTGTAACTCACAACTCGATTATCTTCAGAAACTTTACTGGGTGGAGATGCTTCACTCCATGCCGCCAGTATATTCAATCCAGGAGCTGTAATATCCGGCTGTGCAAGAAAGAACAAAAATGTTGGAATGTGTTGAATCTTAAAATCTTTCGTGATTATCACATTTGATATTTACCTTAAGAATGGAAGGATGAATGACATTGGGCCCTCTGCTTGTGAATCCGGCCATAAACGGCGCCGGTCCATTGCCGAAAACCGTCTCTGGCTCTGCAAGGCTAGCGGTTGCGTTGTCCTTGGTTGATTTGATGTAGTTTATGACCTCATTCGTGTCATTGTACCCAAGTGCGGTGGTTGGAAGCACGTGCGGCTCCAAGTAGACGGCGTCGCCGAATTCGGCGCTATTTCCCAAGATGAAGCCGGCGCCACCGGCCCTTTTCACTTCCATTCCTTTCAACACTCTGAATGTGGTTCCTCGGATGCAGAGCACGATTTTGCCTTTGACCTTTTCCGGCGACAAGGAATTCGGCAGGCATTGGTCCGTTTCGTTCTTTGGTACCCATGGAAGTGCCGCATCTGCTGCGTAGATTAGTGGCAGCCTCTCGGGCAGAGTGTACGGAGTCACGGTTTGTCCCTGCAAAAATAGATAAAGGAAATTAAGTTTTAGGTTAGGACTTAGGATACACTATTAATGGCGGAACCAAAAATTTGGATACTGGCAGTTAAAAAAATTTTACTGTCTAAGAAATTTTAACCATGTTCATTGAGGAGGGTTTAAAGTCTCACCAAATATTATATTTTCAAAATTTTATATGCAAATTTATCTAATTGAGGAGAGCGATAGCCCCATTGAACTTAACGTGGCTCTATAATAATACGAGGGCGTTTTATAACACCTAAATTTTTTAGATTGAGTGTTGAAAGTTGTTAATTGAATGTGGTGACAATACATTCATCTAATAGCAACAACACAATCCAATGACTCTGAACATTATAAGGTAAATCCTTATGGGTTGTAAGCGCGGCGGCCATGTTGCGTAATACTCGTTACTCTATTTAATAACAGAAATCTTATGTAAGATAACTATAAAAGCAACCAGTCTAAATATTTTTCTTTTACCTACCGTGATCATTTTGCCATTTCCGAGGACGAGACGCCCCAAGAAGGCGCGATCCACGCTGCTGGCGCCGACCGTCATAATCCACGGCGCCGCGTTGGACAGCGTGGCCGGGGTGGGCCCGGAATTGCCGGCGCTGCAAGCAACGACGACGTTCCTTTCCAAGGCGTGGAACGCCCCAATCGAGATCCCGTCCTCCATGTGGCTCAGGAGGTCGTCAGAGCCGATGGAGATGCTGATGACGTGGACCCCGTCGGCGATGGCGTCATCCATGGCCGCCAGCATGTCCTCCTGACCGCAGGTGTTGCCCATCGTCTTCTCCTGCCCCGGCGTCGGCCAGCACACCTTGTACACCGCCAGCCGGGCCAGCGGCGCCCCGCCCGAGGCCGTCCCGCGGGCGAAACCGCCGAAAGCCGACGCGTTCTGGACCTGCCGCCCCGCCGCTATGGACGCCACGTGGGTCCCGTGGCCGTCCTTGTCCCGTGCCGACCTGTAGTCCGACGTGTCGTTCAGTGGCCCGAAGTGACGCTCGAAACCTTTGAGGTAGTACCTCGCTCCAATTATTTTCCTGTATGCCATACCAAGAAACAAAATAGTTTAAATGACTAAACGAAAAAGAACATCCATGTGACCATGTTATTATCTTTTTGGCAAGACCAATTTCCTAAGCCCGTGACATAATGGAGCAGTCGGAAACAGAGTGAGTCCAGAGGCAGAGAGAAACAGAGTAGCGTAGACTCACTTGTTACAGTGGGAAGAGTTGAAGTCTTGTCCAGTTTGGCAGATTCCTTTCCATGTCTTTGGGATGGGTTCCAGCCCTTCGTCACTAAAGCTCCTTGCCTCCGGCCAAATACCTGATAAAACCGGTCATCAAATGATTCAGTTTCCCAAACCCAAAATCAAACCAATAGTAGTAGTAGTAGCAGGGTACATAGTCACATGATACTACAAACAAAAGTCCGTTAAACCCCACAATATAATGTCCGTTTTTCTACATTTCTTACCGCTGTCGAGGATGCCAACGATGACGTCTTTGCCATAGCCAGCTTTGTGAAGCAAATCCTCCGCCATGAAGCTCTTCTCGGTATCGAACCGGTTCGATACTTGCGGGTTATAAGTAGCTGCCTCGTTCAGCCCCGCGAATTCCCAAGACCTTGTGGTGTGGGGTTTGTACTTCATGGGACGGCTCTCGATGACGGACACCACTTCATCCAGTTCTGCTCATCGCAAAATCAAAGGGACACAACTTATATATGTTTCATAAGTACCTTAATTAGAACCAATGTCACGTATTATTAAGTTTTCAAAAGAAAAAAGAAAAAAAAAGAGTACCATTGAGTTGGGAGGCTTGCTGTGCGGTGAGGGATGCTGCGAAGCCATTGATGCTGTGTTTGTAGCTGTAGATGAGGGAAGCTTTGGCTTCTTCTTCTGTTTCCTTTACGGACGTTAGATATGAGTGATGGGTTTCCAGGATTTGGGCTGGTGTTTTGTCACCACTGTGCCCTCCCAAGTAGACTATGTAGGGCTTTTGATGTTCATCACATTTGGCTAAGAGAGGCAGAATTGTGAGAAGGGATAGGCAAAGGAGGAGGGAAATATCGTTGTTATGCTTATGCCTCATCCTTTTGTGTCGTGGTGCGAAGGGAAATTGAAGTGGTACGTTATTTGTGCAGTATTTAGGAGGTGGGGGTATTTATAACAGGGGAATGGCGCAACTTGGAATCTTTGGCTTTGGTTAAATAATAATTGGACTGACCACTTGATGTGAAACCTTTGGATTGATTTTTCTTTAGCCCATTCCGGATGAAGTGAGTTTTTTCATTTTTGTGGCTTTTGGACTCGCAATTTCTTGTACTTCACAGAACTTTAGGGAGAGGGTGGCTACAAGTACAAAGGATATAATTTTTTTTGGGTTAATAACTTATTTTGGCCTGAATTATGATCATATAATCAGCTTTGGTCCGTGGTTTCAGAAATTAACATCCTGACCTCAACTATGCAGCATATAGACTCAATTGGCACGACACATAGTTTGACCATCAATTTGGACGGTCAACTCCGTTGACCGTTATTCAACACGCCATGTCATTGCCTAATCAGCCTAAAAATCATTAAAAAATTATTTATTATCAAATTAACCAAAAATAAATTATAAAAAACATAAAATAATTTTTTTTGGATAATTTGAAAATGATAAATTTTATAAATTAACAAAAAATTAGCAAATTATTTTATATTTTAAAAACTTCCCAAAAAATATAATTTATATCATAATTTTTAAATTTATAAAATTTAATTTGATAATTTTGGTTAATTTGTAAAATTTATCATTTTCAAATATCCCAAAAAATTTATTTTATATTTTTAGAATTTTATTTTTTGGTTAATTGGAAAATCATAAGTAATAGAAATTAGGAAAATAACCCAAATTTGAATTTTTTTAATGATTTTTATGCTGACTAGGCAATGACATGGCATGTTGACTAACGGTCAACGGAGTTGACCATCCAAATTGACGGTCGAACTATGTGTCGGGCCAATCGAGTCTATATGTTGCATAGTTGAGGCCAGAATGTTAATTTCTGAAACCACGGGCCAAAGTTGATTATATGATCATAGTTCGGGGCAAAATAAGGTATTAACCTTTTTTTTTACTATCTTTTAGCCACACTTTTTATGGATTCTAAAATATTAGACAAAATTTTGAGAATATGAAATGTTAGTTAAATCTTTCAGCCCAATGTCAACTACAATATATTATTTATTAAATTTATAATTTTAAAATTTTTAAAATTTTTAAAAATCAAAAGATAAAAAAAAATAATCTTTCCTTTTTCTCACCCTCTGTTCGCCGCTCCTTCTGTTTCCCCCAACCTACGCCATCCACCGCCGCTCACCAAAGATCTCGGTCAAAGACCGATGATGTTCGTCTGCAAAGTCCTGGCTTGTCGCCTCCAACGGCTCATTCCTCCACTCCGCCTTTGATCTCAACACTCACTTCGATTTCGGGCCAGAGTTTCCTCGCTGGTGGTACATAGGGATGGCAATGGGTCGGGTTGGGGCGGATTTTGCCAAACCCGAATCCAAACCCATGGGTTTGTCCGTCAAAAAACCCCGGGGTAAAACCCGCTGGGTTTGAAAAACTCAAACCCAACCCAACCCGCTGGGTATCCGCAAGTTGATGGGTACCCGCGGGTTTTTTGGGTAAAATATTTATAAAATAATAATTAACAAGAAACTATCAAAATAAAAATCAAACATAAATCTCACCATACAAACTATCCATACATAAAACATTGTTCTAAAAAATTCAAGCAAATCACACAATATCCATACAAATTGTTCAACTCCAATCTAAAAAATTCAAAGTCACAATTTATCAATACACAACATGATTAATTAAAGTTTCCTCCTCCTTGAGAACTTGAACATAGTCATCTTAGCTTCACTCTCAACTCCATAACATCGACTTCATTCTACAGAATTAGGTAGACCAAAATTAGAAATGTCTCCACAAACATAAGAAAGATGGATGTTTTAAAGAAGATAGTTATAATATTAAATATACCGGTAACACATGAAGCACAATCTGGATCTAGGTCATCATTAACAGTGGCATAAGTCATGAGCTTATCAATTGTTTCCAAGCCATCTGCAAATAGAATAGCAAGTTAGCAAATAATGGTAACCAACAATACCATAACTCAAAACATGTATTAAGGTTCATATGTGAAATCAAACAATCAAAGGTTATCAAGCTACCTGGAATGGTTGAATTGAGCAACCAGTTTTGAGCACACATTAGAACCTCAACAGTTTCTGGGAGAAGTCTACTGCGACTAGGGCTAACTAGTCTTCCACCGACACTTAAAGCAGACTCAGAAGCCACAGTAGTCACTGTAAACATTACCATACATTAGGAGGAATATATGTTATCATCGTGATTATTTATAACTATTATAGTGTAAACTTGAATCAACTTCAATAGAACATATGTCGAAAGGAATTTGATCTGCCACCCCATATACAAAATTGAAAGCGATTATTTGATGGAACAATTAACCAATTATAAAATTGATGAGTATTATTTAGAAACTTTAACTTGAATTTGAGATAAAATAAAATTTGTAAACATTCATATATCATTTCCAGGAACACTATTACTATTATTTACTCATGAATAAGAATTTTGAATTCGTAAATTATAAAATAAACTAAATTTGTCCCGTGACTATATCTTATGAAAAAATTTAATTTGTGATGACGCTAACAACATTGTTAGCCTGAATTGTTTGTTTTCGTTAGTTTGTTGAGTATTATGAGTCTCACGTATCATTGAATATTTGCACTACAATGTATTGTCATCAAAAGATAATTTTTAGACTAAAGTTACCAACCCATTGGTCAATGTAACAATTATTTTGTTAATTATTTAATAATTTAATAATGCTAAGTGATAATTTGTAGGAAGGCCGAGAATACTTAAGCATATATGGATCTAGGCTAATGTTTTTCATTATAGAAGCTTTATGGGACTGTCTTGGATCAAATGGAAGTCCAATGGATCCTTGATTGTTTGTTACAATGCTTAATTTATTGGGTCAAACGGGGAAGCATTTATATAGAAGTTAAACTGGCGCTTTTATAATTAACAAGAATTAGTGCTCCGAAATACTAAATTCACGCTCCAAGAAATATTAGCTCGCGAATTATTGTCGGCTTCCTGAAAATCCGCGTTTCTACGCGCTGGACCGGGAGCGGCAGACCTGCACACGCGAATTATAGTTGTATGTTCGGGTATCCACGGGTCGGGTTCCCCCAAATCCGAACCCGTCCCAACCCGCCCAACCAGCCACCGGGTTTAAACCCGAACCCGACCCAAACCCAGTCAACACGGGTTTTACCCGATTTGACCGGGTTAGGTCGGGTCGGGTACCCGCGGGTCCGGGTTGAACTGCCATCCCTATGGTACAATCCTAGATTATGGAAGGGTATACAATCCTCGATTATGCAACCTATCCTATACCTATTTTGCTCGAAGAATATAAATTAACTAATAAATTATTTTATTCCTTTCTAGTTTCTATATACGACCTCTAGTGTATAGAATCTATTTTCTTCATCCAAGTCCCATGATATCGAATCTATGATGACGTAGCCATCAATCATCAGTGATAAGTGGTCTCTATAAGTCTAGAAAAAGAATGATATTTGGATGGCAATTTCGACCTAACTTGTTTTACCCGACTTGTTTGACCTGTTTTGGGTGGGCTCGACCCGCCCAGTAGGCAGGGCGGAGCGGGAATGGGGACTTCTCGTCGAACCGACCTGCCCTGACCCGCCTCATTCTCGACCCGTTCTTGCCTAAATTACATGTAATCTTAGTCAAATTATTTAGAATTTTCCTCATATTACCTCATTATTTAGCTATAATAAAGTTGTAAATAAGTGAAAACCTCAATTTCTCCAACACTTTAACTACAATTTATCATATTATGGTTTATTTCTTGGGTTTTTAATGAAAATAATGAATATTTTTAAAGGTTTTTACATAAATTACATACCCATTGGGTCGACCTGCCCCGACCCACACCCCATGATAAATTACCCGACCTGAATCCGACCTGCTATGGGGCGGGTATGAGTATCGAGATACCCGGATGTGCCCATTTCATTCCTATTTGCAATAAAGAAATGACATTGTGGGTGTGGGTTTAAAATAATTCAAAGGATGAGACGTAGTATCTTTTCTTGAACAAATGACAAGTAGGATTTGATGGAAGAAACTTTGATTGTAGTTTCCATCGCTATATGTATTATTATTATTTTCCTCGTTAACATCTAGTATTATTATCTTTTAGTGGATACCAAGTTCCAAGCAAAAACTGAATTAAACAAGTTGGTCCCGGAATTTTGGTAAAGCGATCACTGAATTATGGCATACGTAGTTACCTCAATCATTGCAAGTCACCAAATTCTATTATGTCAAATACACACTGTGACCCTGTGAGTAGGGTTGGAGTCCCACTTGTAGTTTAATTGCAAACCGCACCCAATTACATATAACTTAGTTAACCACCAACCACAATTTTTTTTTTTTTTGTAAGACCAACCACAATTTATGGTTAGTAATTAGCAAAATTTACAAAACAGAAAATTTGTATAACTTGGGGTTTGGAGTAGCCATTTATATCACTAATTTATTTAGTTTTGTTATTTAGGCAGGCTTTATTTTTCCTAACTTTGGACAACCGTTATTGATCGTTTGTGTACTGCACTTTCAAGTGTTGAATAATACTGTCGGTGTTGTATTTTCGACAAGATCGACTTTGCCTCAGGAGCAAGATTTAATCTCTTGTGATAGAGATTTCTAGTATCATATTCGTGCTTTTTTTGTTGGTCATTTTTTAGGTGATCATATCCTATGAAAAAATTGAAGGAAGTGAAATAAGTCTCATCGATCTATAAGGTGATGTTCGATTTAATTCGCTTTTACAAGTTAATGAGAGTAATTAAGTATGCTTTGTCAAAGATTGCTAATGTCTTTTTCTTTTCTTTGTTGTGGGTTTTTTGGGACAACTTGATACCGGATACCCGGCATACTCCGTCGAAGGAAACTACACTCGTTGGCGGAACTATCTTGGAGATGTTGGGTTTTTTTATATGTTTT